GTGTTGTGTATTTAGTTCTGTTGGTCACCAGAGTTCACTACCACCATGGGACCAATTAGCCCCTCCACGCGTCCCAGGCTTGGCACCAGGCTTTCAGCTCAGCAAACTCACCTTCCTTGGGCCCAAGGCCCCGTCACTAATTACAGAGCTGAGGACATTGGTCTTTACGGCCACCCTGTGCTACTGTTACTGCTCTGCAGAACTCAGTTCCCTGTCTTTGTATCTCTTTGTTTTGCTTTCTTTCTCTCACTTTGAGATCTTCTTTTGTCAAAAGTGTGGCAACTGTATTTGTTGCAATTTCATCTGAATTTCCTTCTGTTTCAGTGAAGGGGCCTTTCGGTCTCTATCACTGTGCCGGAAGTAGAAACTGAGTCTACCTTTTATCAACTATACTGGTACATATCTCTTTCACTAGGCAGACAATGAAGTCTTTTTTGTTTTTTAATTCTTGAACTTTACTTTTTAGGGCAGCTTAGCCACACAGCAAAGTTGAGCAGAAAATGAGACCGTTACATTCTGTCCCCTGACCCCACACATGCACAAACTGCCCCCCCACCACCTTTTCCCACCACAGTGGTACATTTGTTACAACATGGGATCCTACACTAATACACGGTTATTACTCAACATCCCTAGTTTACGTCAGGGCTCACTCGTGATGGTGTACAGACTATGGATTTTGACAAATGCATAGGAACACGGATCCACATTATAATGTCATACAGAATAGTTTTGCTGCCCTAAAGATCTATGCCCTGCCTATTCGCCTCACCTTCTTCACTAAGCCCTGGCAACAACTGAACCTTTGACTGTCTCCACAGTTTTGTCTTTCCCAGAATCTCACAGAATGGGAAACGTATAGTGTGTAGCTCTTTCATACTGACTTCTTTCACTTGTTTCCTCCATGTCTTTGCACAGCTCGCTAGCTCATTCTTTATAGCGTTGAGTAGTATTGTCCATTGTCTATGCTACAGTTTATCCACTCAGCTACCAAAGGACATCTTGTTGCTTCCAGGTTTTGGCAATTATGAATATGGCTGCTACAAACCCCTGCGTGAAGGATTTTGTGTGGACGTGAATTTTTAATTCATTTGGGTAAATACCAAGGCGTATGACGACTGGATTATCTGGTTAAAGTTGTTTGGTTGCATAAACAACAACAACAAGCAAACAACAAACTGCCAAATTGTCTTCCCAAGTGGCTATACTATTTTGCATTCCTACCAGCAATGAATGAGAGTTCCCTTTGCTCTATATCCTCCTAGCACCTGGTGTTGTCAGCATTCTGGATTTTGGCCATTCTCATAGGTGTATAATGGCATCTCGTGGTTTACATTTGCAATTCTCTGAAGACGTGATGTTGAACAACTCTGCAGAGGCTTGGATGCCATCCGTATATCTTCTTGAGTGAGGGGTTAAGGTCTTAAGACTTGGGTGTATTAAGGTCTTTGACCATTTTTTAATTGGATTGTTCATTTTCCTGTTGTAAAAACTTACAGTTTGGGTTTTTCTACCCCGGCACTGGTGACTATAGACGTTTCTGCTCAGATAAGTTGTGGTTCTCTGTATTTGCTCGCCTCTTTCCCATTTGTGGAGAAGGTGTTTGCCCTCTGGCCTCACTTCTCTCACAGATCTAGGAAGAGTTGTCGACTTTTCAGTTTAACTTTTAACTTGTTATTCAGATCAAGCGGTAACTTCTAAGCTCCTTAAATGCTGAACCGGAAACTGAGAGTTTTAAGTCTTTCTTATTTTTGTGTTTTCCAAGGTTTCTTACATAACTTCTGCATATAGCATGTGCTTAAGGACTTTTGTTAAAATTTATTGAACACCATTGGTCACAGCCTATATTTTCAAGCACTTTCTAACTGCTATTCATTATTCTAAGTGTTTTTACATATGTAATCCACTTAAACCTCCCAAGAACTCACCTATAAGTGCTATTATTATTCCCATTTTACAAATAAGAAAGCTGAAGAACAGAGAGGTTATAAATATCTTCCTCCAAAGGAACACAGCCAGTGAACGGTGAACCAGAATTCAAACTCAAAGTACTTGAGAACCCATACTCATAGCCATCATGCTCTATGACCCAGCTAACTCTAAAAATCCTGCAAGTATTGTGGTCTGACTTATCATGAGAATGCCAATAGTCCAACAGATTATTTCTTCTTCTACTGATTTTGGAAACTGCTAATGTATTTCTATTTACCGCCCAAACATCTGAAGTTAATGGAAGAGAATGACTTTTGAGTGCACGTTCCCGGCAAGAAAAGGATGATGTTTCTACGAAGCCCACACAGAAAATGATGGGCCACAGGAGTTCTCTGAGCTCCCGGAAGCTGATGAAGGTCTTCCTCAGCCCATCAGAGAAACTCCACTTTGCCTACAAAGAATCTGGTACTAGAAAAAGATGTCCATGTTCCTATAAATACAAACATGTGCACTATTTTCTCTGACAAATTAGCACTGACACTTGCATAAATACAATTTTGAGGGTACTAATGTTTTAAAACAACCTAGGTTGTTCTGATTCTATTGCTCATACACTGAGGTTCACCACCATTAACAGACAAGCCAAAGATAATCATTGCCCTGTAGGCAACCCCGGCTGTAGCAATGAATATGCAGTCTGTTTCTGCAGCAGCCACTTTTTGGTGGGCGCGCAGACTGACTGCATACTTTGTTCTTTCTTTATGGAAACACAGTCTATCTGTACCACCAATCTATCCTCTTTTTTTTTCTGACAACTAATTTGGACTTTAAAGAATATTCTGATTTCACTGGAATTCATGTTGGTAGGTTTAAGATACATGGGAAACAGGGACAGAGATGTTTACATATCGAAATACTGGATCATTTTTAATCAGTATATTCTTTACCAATCAAGGGGATACTCTATGGTCATTAACCAGTTATCAAGAGAGTTTATCATCAGGTGTGCTGCATGTTCCTTCCTATCCTCACTTGGCTGAGAAAAGAATCATAGTCTAGTGCAATTTAGACAATGAGAAAATGTATTTCCCAGGGGCACAAAAAAAATGTATGCAGAACTTCCTTATCTGCTCTCCTCTCAAAAAAAACCAAACAAACCCACTTCATATTCTTTAATGTTATATTATAGCCCATTGTTTATGTCTTGAAAACATAAGTGCTCAGCTCTTTCTGGCCTAATGAATTTGTAGATAATATCTAATGAATCATGGACACATTTATTAGATATATCTTTGATGTAGCACTAATTTATAGAATGGATTTTTCATTCATTCATTCATTTGTAATTGGCATCTGCTCCAGGCTGGTGTTGGAATGGACAGCCTACAATGATATTACAGGGTCCTAAGTGTGGCCACAGTGTAGAGACAACATGGTCTGAGAGCTCAGAGAAGAGGACAACCAGTTAAGTGCTTTAAAAATGTGTGCAGAGGGGCGTCTGGGTGTCTCAGTCACTTAGGTATCTACCTTTGGCTAAGGTCATGATCTCAGGGTCCCAGGATTAGGTTCTGTGTTGGGCTCCCTGCTCAATGGGGAGTCTGTTTCACCCTATACCCTTCCCTCTGCTCATGAACTCTCTCTGAAATAAATAAAATATCTTAAAAAAAAAAAAAGTGTGCAGAGAAGGCCCTGGGTAGGCAAGCACTCAGGACCCTGATGGAACCAAACACAAGGATGCTTGAAATTCTGACCTCATCTAGCTAGACCCTTTCTTTCTTAGAAAATATTTCATTAAGTTCTACAAATTTATAATGGGTTTATAGATTGCATGCCACTGACCATAGATTTTTTTTTCAATAAGGGTTGTATACGAGGGTCTCAAACTGTATACTAGAGACAGCACCAAAAGATGGGCCTTCAAGGTCTGGCATAGTTCAGAATGCAATCTAGTAAGGGCACCTTTGGCGATGGGCTCCTTGCACAGTAGTGACAACTGTACACTGAACAATCTCAAGACCTTATAGACATGTGTATTCCTCATGGCAGAAAATGGTAGTAAAGAGTTGGAATTAAGGCAATGTATTAGAATTTTTTGACCAATGGAACTAAAGTATCCTGAGGGGAGGTTGTCTTTTTTCTAATTCACAAAGATGTGTAGGCTACTGGCTGCCCTGGTTTTTGTTTATCTCAAACATTACTCCTGCCTCTACCAGGAACTAGAGAGGGCGTGGACCATCTCAGGTGGTGGTCCCCTCCATCGTGAGCACACTTACCCTGTGGAGGTGCCCCCACAGACCAGGCCGAGGACAGAGGATAACAACTCAGGAAGATCAGAAGAGGTGAGAACGGTGGTAGCAGGAAAGAAATTCAGAGGATGACTTTTCCCTACATCACTTGCTCTTGGTGTCCTTCTTTCATGGTGAGAATTCTAGGGTCCATGCCCCCTCTGCTTGCATTTTCAGGGCTTCATTCACACTTTTCCCTTTCCTTGGGTACCTCCAACCGCAAATCAGGCAGAGTATCTCAGATAACAAAGTGCTTGAATTTATACTCCTCAAAACAGGGAGCCTTTCTCATTCATTGTTTCAAGCTGACAGCCTAGCACTATTTTAGGCATAAAGCAGATACTGAAAAAAACTGTGACTGAGCAATAGGAATGAATACAATTACAAGGTTAAATGCACTTTTTGGAATAACCAGTTGATTTCATTTATCCCTGACTTCATTGGGATTAATATTATAAAGCAAGAAATAAGGCAAAATTGGCTTCCACAAGGCCAGTCATCTTGGCTCTGCTGTACCTCTTTTCTCAAGAAATGATGAGATGTGGCATGTGCCAAAGAGAATTTCATTTTAGGAAACTATCAAGGGATAGTAATTTAATTAGAGGGAAAACTACAAAATTCAAAGAAACCAAACAGTCTGGGGGTTGTTGTTTGTGTTTGTAAAATAACCCAAAAGTAAAAACAGAGTGGCAGAAGTTGAATTACAAACAAGAGAACATCACCTCCACTCTGGGTTATCTACAAAGTTCCTGAAATAGATAGTAACTAGAGTAACTCTCTTACCTTGTAATTGTTCATGAGTTCAGCTAACCAGAGCTTAACGGACTTTACTGTATCTTCTCGCATGTACTTTTCAACTTCGGATCCGTCACTAAAAGTCCGGTTTCCCACATGGATGGCTTGCCTCACTTCCGGGAGGGACAAAAATTTCCCATAGTAATTTTGGTCCTCAGGGTCCTGGCAGAAGGGGATATCAGAAAAACACTAGGAAACGTGACTGGGTGGCAGGAACAGCCTGTGGGGAAAGCTGCAAATTTCTGCTAATACAAACTACAATGAACAAGACGAGACATGACTATTAACTGGTCTCCGCCTTGAGATTTTTAATTTGAGGGGTTCTGAGGTAATTTAAATTTTATTGATAATAAACCTGGATGATCTGATACTTTCAGAGCCAATGCTCCATTTGCACTTAAATGCTTGATTTTTCTTTCTTGGTAACTCATCTTCTAGAATCTATGACTCCAATCAACAACACCATATGAGGGGTGTCTGGGTGGCTCAGTCGGTTAAGTATCTGCCTTTGACTCAGGTCATGATCCCAGGGTCCTGGGATTGAGCCTCATGTCAGGCTCTCTGCTCAGCGGGAAGCCTGCTTCTCCCTCTCCCTCTGCTGTTTCCCCTGCTTGTGCTCTCTCACTCTTTCTGTCAAATAAAATAAATAAAATCTTAAAAAAAAACACCAACATTTGAGGCAAAAGACAGGAAAAACGGAAGGGGTGAGATTATCAAAAACAATTTGCTCCTTGTCGGAGGCTCTATGGGACGAAAGTCAAATGGACCACAAAAGCCAGAGCAGTGGTCTGGTGGATTAAAAGGCAAGGCTTTCTCTTCCATGTTCTGCTGCTTATTAAAACCACACGTACAAAATAATCAGCTCACCATAATTGAAGGAGGGAAATATACCAAGTGTAAAAACAGATGACTTTATGAAGGACATGAGACAAAAGAAAAGTTGTCCATGAGCCTTATTAAAAAAAAAAAAATACTGCATAAAGTCTGTGATAGTGAAAAGTCTGTGATACTCATCATGCTAAAAGAAAAAAGGTATAAATGCTATTTTAAAAAATTACAAAGGGATAAAAAAATTTGAGATCAATAATTTTGTGCATCCTCCTTTTTTGCTAATCTTTCAAATACAATACTTTGTAAAGGAAAAAGAAATGTGATTACAAATCCTGTTTCTCTCTTGCCTACCATCTGTTTTTCTCTTGGTAGAATCTAAATCCAAAACCACAGGTTTGGCAGATTCTATTGAAACCAGCTTTATATTTTATTTACAAAATAGCTCATAAATAAGGCAATTTTTAAAACAAGATGTATTCTCATATACACTAGATAAAGATGATACAAATCCAAATACCCACTTTGGCTTCTTTTGTTTTATTTGATTAATCCTGCACAGAAGACATTGATTTTGGCCTACTTTTATGGAAGAAAACTACTTGAATATTTTGAGAAATATTCCAAAGAGCTTAAAGTGAGGGCCATACTAAGTGCAGAAACCACCTTAAGTCAAAAGTAAGACAAAGCAAATATTTTCCTAAAGGCTTTGGCAGTTTTGATTATCCAAGCCGTCTTAAGTACAGAGCAAATAATGTGGACATTTTCAAGAAACTCACTACAGGCTTGGCATTCTGGAACCTAATACCCAGGAGAGCAATCCTGGCCTCTATCTTTGACAAAAGAATTTCTATATAACAAGCTCTACTGGGGGGTGAGGGGGATTGTGTTAATCAGAGATTGTTTTGAGTTATATGGAATATCATTCTTGATGGTCAGATTATAACATATACAACGTCAGTGGGGCGGGGGGATCCTATAGATTAGTAGATCAAATAATGTCATACAGTTAGGACATATTTATCCAGTTTAAAGTCACCTACAGTATTTCTCAAATTGGAAGAAGTTTGGTTTTGCCAAAATTTTTAAGCCAACACTATCACAGTTTCAAAAATGTTGTCATTACCTTGCACTGCAATATGTTATAGTAACTAGGACATCCTGTGATATTCTGGAAGTAAGAAGGGTTGCTTGTTAAGTCACCATCTAGTAGTTTATCCAGTACCTAGGTCAGGAGAGAGAGAAGGAAAACATCAGGGTAGGTAAAAACACATGGGCACTTGTCATTGCACTGATTTAACAGTTTCCTTGTTCCAGCATCGTTTCATTCAACAACCATTTATTGCACATCTTCTCTGGGCTAGACACTACCCCGGGCATTGGGGACACAGCAGTGTGAACAAGAGAGCACAAGTCCTCCCCCTGGACCTAATATCCTTGAGGGGGACAAGAAGCAAGCATTCACAGGAAAAACATGCAGCATGGTAAGAGTGATAAGTGTTAAGGAGAAAACTAAAGAGGAGAAGGAGAGTAGGAAGTGTCATGGCATGTGTGGGCACATGTATATGCGTGAGTGCAAGGTGCACTGCAGAGAGGGGGAAACACAGACGGCATTTGAGTAAACACCTGTTGGAAGGAAGGAAGTGAGCCATGCAGACATCTAGGGAGAGAACATTCCAGGCAGAGGAGACAGTGAGCTCAAAGGTCCCGACCATGGGAATGAGCCTTGTAGGGAAGGATTGCCATAATATGGATCATTGACCATTCACCCAGGTGCTTGGAGCTAGTGGAAGTTCCCTTGGGACTTCTTACTTTAAAAACTGGTCAACATCGGAGGTGAGGGCAGTCAGCATGATTGCGTGCCCTTCTCTGGTCATGTGTAGTAGCACAGAGATAGACACGGGGTGTAAACAAGTGCTTTTAGCGTGGATGGTGGTTTGGCCAAAGGAGCTGGGCTGACCTTGAGTTTCAGCTGGGTGTTTAAAGCAACTAAGACTTGAAGGGGTTAAGGATCATGACTCGGTTGTAGGATCAATGGACTGGAAGACAATGGGGTTGCAGAACTGTTCTTTGAATTGGTATATTCGGAGAAGTGTGACAGTGCGATGAGAATCTGAGGTTGTAGAGTGATTGTCAGATTTTTTGTTTTGTTTTGGGACTGAGCAGCTAAGATAAGAGAAGAAGAAGACTGTCGAAAGACAGGAGACTTAGGACTGAGGGGCCGCGTATTGAAATGATCCTTCATGCAGACACTGTGATCATTAGAAATAATGACAAGCACAATGCCCTTGAGAGAGAGTGACAGTGAGGCATTCTCGGGATGAGAAGGAGAAAATTGGAGGCTGGTAGGTAACTACAAAGAGTGGTGGGTGAGATCATGTGAGGATGAGGCAGTCAGAGCTCAGTGCTTCTGGAAGGACAGAACATGATCTGAGGGCAGTAATGAGGAGCATGGAGGACACCCACTCTACCCAGGAGCCAAGTGGTACAAAGTAGGTAAGACAGAACACAATCCCTGCTTGAGAGGGGAAGGGACAGCAGCAGGGGAGAAGCAGGTTTTGGGTAGAGCACAAAGATGAAGGGAATACTTAGAAAAGAGACTGAGAACACTGGGATGCTTTTGGATGAGGATATTGAGTCCATAAGGGGCTCCTGTAAAAAGGATGAATTTGGTGCATTTTCAAAACCAACTATCAGGTATGATTTTAGGTTTTCTTACGTGGTAAGAATTCAGGACAATAGTATCCTAGTTTTACAGGTGAGAAAACTGAGGCACATGGAGGTTAAGTCACCAAAGATGCCTCGCTAATGTCAGAGGAGAGATTCAAGCCCAGGCCATGCTCTCCAGCCTACGTGCTCCACATCCTGCCACACACACACTAGCTCTCCAAGGGGCGGACTGCTGCTCTCTTAGTCTTCAATTCTTTCTGGCCATGCTTTTGGGCTTAATATAAAATTCCATTATTTTATTAGATTAGTTTTCTTTACCAAACATGAAGCAACTTAATTTATCCAAGTGACCATTGCCACAGGGCTAGGGACCAAGAATGAAAAGGATCATCATTGTGGAAAGGGGAGGGAGTAATAAGTATGCTCTAGCAACTCTACGGTCCCGCAGGCCCACTGCCTCTGGCTGTGCCCTGTGCGCTACGTGGGGGTGCCTGGCAGAGGGGCAGAGAGCCATCAAAGTTCTGCTTGCCGAGCTGGATAACCAGACTTGGGCTGCATTTGGAGAAAAAGCCCTCTCTATTCTCGTACAATGGTGGCCTCCACTTGTCAAGCTCTGAATCCACAGGACTATGTCTGCTCAGCGGAGGTGTCTTTTTCTAACTTGTCCACCCAGAGGCGACACCACAGGCTAGCAGTAGTTCTGAATACAAGCAGCATTTTGTTTATGCTTAGAAATTATCTTCAACACCAATGGGAATATAAATTCCACCCTTAAGAATGGATCTGATTTCAGAAAGAGTCAAACATCATTTGTTGTCAAGTAAGTGACGAGGGTGGTCAAGACCTGTGAAATCCAGTTTCTGGTCAAAACTGGTTTCACGGAAAGAACTCTGTGATCCAGAATATTGTCATGGTAAGGGGGACAATATGCGGCCAGAGATGGGCCATTGTGCATCTTGCAGAATGTCTAAATATCCCAGGATTTTTACATACTGAGTGGGAGTTACCACAGGAGAATACCACGGCAGGAATCGGGGAGGGGGGGATGATTCCAATCCTAGGACTGCCACAGTCTATTATGGGGCTTTTGGCCACTGAATGCAGTCCCTCCAGGCCTCAGCCCCCTCATCAGTGAAATGTGGATGCGTGCATGTGTGTACGGGCAGAAGATGGTCTCCGAAATTCCCTCCGGCTCCAAGTTCCTGCTTTTTGACTAACTACATCATGTTAAGGGATCAGGGCATCCAACAGGCTTTATCATTTAGGCTTGTGATTTTGACAGTACTCTCGTGGGTCTCAGGGTTTCTCTGAGCCTTCTACTGCCTACGCTGAAACCCATTTGACCACTGCTGGCTTACTTTCCCAAGTATCGGTTTATCTATTTCCCTTAAAATAAAACAAAAAGTATTAAGTGAATTCTTAAGATATTGGATCAATGGTCAAAGAGACACTGCATACCTTCCTAGGTTTGTTGTTGTGGTTTTTGTCCTTTTGTTTTGGGTTTTGGTGTCTTTTGCTTTGTTTTCTGATGAATCTAGTTTAGGAGAGCTCTGACCTCATGGGCCATCTTCTCATTACCTCTGAAAACACCAAATAACCTGAACTTGTCCCCCGTTTTGTTAATCCGGTGGGGGCTCGGGCTGCTGCAACATGCAAGGATGCAAGGACATCCTTCTGGTTTCCTTACCCCTTAGGGCCCATTGGATGTTCTTCCTCTTGACATCACTTCATCCCCGTATGCTTCTTCAAAAACACATCAAATCTCTCACTTGCCAACGGGTCTCCCATGATGTAACATTTGATATTAATTTAAAATTTTGGAGATTCAATCCTTTTACCCTTTCTGCCTACTACAACAGAACGCCTAAAACCAGACTCAAAAATAGTGTCACTGCATGTCGAAGAGGGATCCTACATGTCCCCGTGAGATCACTCTTCCTTTGCATTTACAATTGCACGGAAATTCTGAATCCGCACTCCCCAGCCACACCAGGTGTCCTGGTGCAGAGAAAGGAGAAGCTGTTGGCATCTGGAGGGATGGGTGGTTTCAGCTGCACATCTTGCTGCTGGGAGAATTGATGGTAAGGGCATTCACTGCTTCAGAGGTTTCAGGCAGGGCGAGGCATCCTGCTTGTGAAATGGAGGGTAACCTTGTTACGCCTTTCTCCCTGAGTTTGTATGGTCTCCTGTTTTGATCTGAACCAGCAGACCTGCAGTGCCTAGAAGACTATTCCTATCAGGCCTCAGGCTTTATAACAACAATGCCGTTAGGAAAACTGGTACAGGTACAGGATGGGCTCCCAAGAACAGGAAGACTGAAGTCCTCCAAATGCACTCCTCGTCTCATTTACTGATGAATGAAACACGATGGCTCTACGATTAAAGGTGGCAAACAGACAAACAAAACCTAAAAGAGATCATTGGTATACAATCGTTGCCTGCACGGGCAAAGCCAAACCAAACCAAAACCTCAAACTCCTGTACGCTAATGTTTAGTATAGTCTCAGATTTTAAATAATTCCCTCCATCCCAATAAAAAGGGCAACGAATAGAACCATATTATTGGATTCTTAAATTCAATTTTAGGGGAGCATTGTGACAATAGTTACAAATACCAATGGCTCTTTATAAAAGTTTCAGATGACTACACTTTCTCAGCTTTGTTCCCGACACACAGGAACACGTGACATTTGTTACACACTGAGGTCGTGTCTCCAGCTGGAATGCCGTGTGCGGATATCACCCTTCTGAAGGGTTTCGAGCAGATGCTGAAGCATATGTATCTACTTTCTGGGTTGCCTTTCTTCTGATTTCCTTGTGATAGGGCATGCCTTTAGGGCCTACGCAGCATTTAAAGAAATCAAAACAGTTAATGAGAGACACAGCTAGATAAACACTCCAGGGTGATCGCAGGTTTAGAAGACAGTCAAAGTAAATTCAAAGAGACCCGACGGCTCTTTCCTTCACTTTGAGCCCACACTCACCCGTCTCCTGATTGCGGACAGCGGACCAGCTATACCTTCTCTAACAACAACAACAACATACCCGAGTACCATGACACTTCTAGGACCCAGCTCACATGGTTCTCATTGCTCCACGGCCATGCAGTCCCCAGAACTCACTTCAAAGGCTTGAAGCCATCTCTTCTCCTTGATGTATTTCACACACTCATCACACTGCTTCTGGAAGTACTTTCTCTGCTTCTCATCCAACAAGCCAATGTGGTACAGGAATGTGGCATAGCCCCCTATGATCTGAGGAGAAAAGAGAAATGCAGACGCCATAGGGAGAGAAAGAGAGAAGTTAGGGGAGCCCACTTGCTTGGTGAAGTAACCCTCTGTCATTTGTCAGTCTCCTGCACACAAACACACACACAATGCACACATTCCACACAATGCACACACATACCCCAAACATACACATACCACACACATGCACAAAATACACAAACATGACACGCACACGCACGCGTGCCCCACGTTCACGCTCACATCCAACCGAGGCTGACGGAATAAGTTGACCCCTTAAAACATCTGGTAAAAATGAGAAGATTTTAAATCATTAGCGAGTCAACCGGGCAACATTATTTCCCTCCATCAACTCAGGTCCCGAAGGTCAGAGGAGCCTCCATTGGATCAAAGGGGATTTAATCTCCTTAAAGGACAGAATGGAAAGGACAAAGGAGACAGACACCTACTGATTCAGGATCAGAATATGCATCTCCGAGAGCGATTCCTTTCAGGTTGATCTTCATCTTCATCACAGGGTTGAGCACGTGGATATAGTGTGCAAGGGCTGGCACGTACTTCCCTGCGTACGACTGAGAAGGGTAGATGTGGAAATGAACCATCACAAATTGGGGCCATAACCGTTATGTATTTAAGCTAATTAAAGTAACAATAAAACAGCAGTATTTCCACATGAGATCCACCATATATTTTACCTTATGCTGTAAATCCCACAATAGCACAGAGCTCTGTCTCTCGCTTCCTCTGGCATCCCCAGACAGCGCCAGTGACATGCAAATCACCGGGGAGGTGCGCAAAAAAATGACAGGTGAACATGAAACAGGTGAACAGTCTAATTTCCTTCACAAATCTGCCACCCATGCGGCTTGTCTTACCAGAAGGCTCCGTTAAAAACTTTATTTGAAAAGGAAAAAGTCTCGAGGCCAAAATGAAGTTTTCAAAATCTGTATGATGATGCAGTTTGAAATCTACATGTATTAAAAAGGCGAGAGGAGAAGGAAAGTAACATTTATTGGCTACTGAAATTGCCACTTGACAATTATCTCTGTCTCCAACCTTTTCAAGTACAGGGTTCCTTTTCAGTTTCAAAATATTTTGCGGACACAAACATTATAATTCTACTTTTAGACTATGCTGAGGAAAGCTACTATTCAGAAATATTTTAAAAATACCTTTGTATTGGGGCGCCTGGGTGGCACAGTCCGTTGAGCATCTGACTCTTGGTCTCGGCTCAGTTCGAGATCTCAGGGTCAAGGGATCAAGTCCCACATGGGCTCTGCACGCAGCATGGCGTCTGCTTGAGACTTTCTCTCCCTTTCCCTCTGCCTCTCCACTGCCCCCTCCCTGCACTCTTTCTCAAATAAATAAATACATACATACATACATACATACAATCTTTAAGAAAATTAGTCTTGTATTGTTTACATTAAAAAGCCGTCTTTTTGACATCTCCCCTTGCATGTCTAATGTTAAACTTCGTATGTTCAGAATGAAGCTTGAATCCCCAAGCCTTCCTTTCAACCTCTCTATTAATGTTACCTGTTTTAACTAGAACATCATGGTGCCATTTCTTTTTCTTTTCTTTCCTTTCCTTTTTTTTTAATATTTTATTTATTTGACAGAGAGAGATCACAAGTAGACAGAGAGGCAGGCAGAGAGAGAGAGGGAAGCAGGCTCCCTGCTGAGCAGAGAGCCCAATGCGGGACTCGATCCCAGGACCCTGAGATCATGACCTGAGCCGAAGGCAGCGGCTTAACCCACTGAGCCACCCAGGCGCCCCTCTTTCTTTTCCTTTTTAAGTAGGCTCCACACCCAGCATGACCCTGAGATGGAGACCCAAGCTGAGATCAAGAGTCAGACACTTAACCAACTGAGCCAGCCAGGTGCCCCAGTGCCATCCCTTATCTCTTTCTCTCACACCCCAAAAAAGTCCATCAGTGAACCTTGTCAACTCTACCTATTCTGTCAAGATAGGTCCCGGATCCAGGGTCTTCGCACAGCACCCTCTTCATCGCCTTGCTCCAGGTTCTGTCATCTCTGGCTTGGATTATTGCAGTAGCCTAACCGCCCCCCTTGCTTTTGTCCTTCCCCTCATCCAGTCTATTTTCAAGATAGTGGTCTACTAAAATGTGAATCTGGTCTTGCCACTGCTATGCTCAAGCCCTCTGACAACTCCCCATCTCCCTCAGAGTAAAAGCAGAGTGCTTTTTCGGAGGCATAAGGATTGGCATGATATCGTACTTCGTTAACCCTATTCCCTGCTACCCCCTTGCTCATTCCTCTCCAGCCCGTCTTGGACCACAGTCATGCTGTACTCTTCTTTCCATCAGGGCCTTTGCATTTGCTGCTCCCTCCCCTGGAATGCTCTTCTCCCAGATGGCCATATACTTTACTCCCTTACTTCCTTCAGTGACACCTAGGGATGCTTTCCTTGGCCATCCCATCTAAAATTTTAACACCCCTCCTTTTTTTTTTTTTTAAACATTTTATATTTCCTTTCTCTCTTTTTTCATCAAATCCTTACCACGTTCCTACAAACTTTTACTTATTTTTCTTGGGTATTGTTAGTCTCCCACCCACACTAGAGTAGAATATCCATGAACACAGAGCTATCTGTTTTTAGGTTAGTATAACCACTGTGCCTGATGCTGTTTGTTAGCAATCAATACACAGCTGTTGAATGAATGAGTCTCGAATGAGCCTACATGCATTTGAAAAACACTAACGCATATATGTTCAAAGTAGACTAAAGGCATGGAGTGGGTACGTATGAGTCCGCAGACCCTTTGTAATATTTCCGAGACTCTGCAGGGGTCTGTAGTTCAAAGGCTGGGAGGCCCATGAGCCCTCATTTACTCCATACCCTAATCATACGCCGCACATATCATTACTCCAATATCAATACGAAGCCACTGAGGCTCAGAAAAATGGCAGAGTCAAAATCTAACCGGCTCTGACCTACTCCCAAACCTACACTCCTTCCAAGGTAACATAAAGTAATGTAATTTGCATAATTTATACAAGATCTCTGAGATCTCCCCATTGATGCAGCCCTCTTGTGCAACAGTAATTATTTAGGCAAAGTATTGACTCAAAACAGTGTATCCATCCACAACCATGAGCACATTTTAGCTTCAGTGAAGGGATATAAAGATGTGTTTGTTTATATGCCTGAAACATGGTTTGTTGCATAAACAGTGCTGTACTCTCTCATTAGGAACATTAAGAGAACATTTATCAAATATAATTTTGCTAAGATGAACCTCAAAACACAAATTTCCTTGAGTAATCATTTTACTGCTAAAGATATATTACATAGTTTTCATTTGGTGATGGTTTATTGGACAACTCTTCTGGCAAAAGCATTGCGGTAGATATTTGAGAAGACACAAAAATCAATAAAGAACAGAACTTGTGCTTGGAAAACTAATAATTTCTTCTGAAAAAATATTATGAAAACTTGACTGCTATGTGATAGGGTGAAGTTTGCCATTTTGTGGATTATTATTCTCACATTGTGTACCTTGCCCAGCACACAGTAGGAACATAAAAACACATCTGACAAAGGAGTGACTAATCTGACGTTACTGCTAAACATTTTTTTCTCTATTGGATGTTATCACTCAAGTTGCCTGGTTATAAGATCCAGCAATAAAACATCTCTTTAACTCTTACTGAGATGGAAGGGCATGTATTTTAAATGGCTCTAACGATGGTGATGATGAATTCAGGCTAAAACAGCCACATTTTTATGGTACCCTCCCCCTTGCAGCCACGATGCTTATCTGGGAGAGATCCAGGCAGGAAATTAAGATGGAACACCTACTCAATTTCTGAGCATCGACTACGAACAGGCTACCTCCCCCCTTTAAGCTGAACTAATTTAAGGTTAACATTATCTTCCCATATTTTAAAATGATGAAAACAAGGGTCTGTGCATTCCAATCACGTGCCTGGCTGGAATCCATCGAGACTCGGCTGCCTCCCCATCTACCATTTCTCATATCACACCACACTTGAGTCAACGGTCTTGGAGGCTATGAGTCTGTGGTCTCCCAAGCTAGGGCTCAGCCCTGGGTCCATCCGCCACCATGCTTACTAAGCTGACCATTTAAAGAAAACCAGACAGTGAGATGGGTAGTTCTATGACCATGTCCAAAACAGATTCCTCAATGCTCAGTCCACATCTGCTAACCTGATGATGTTTATCTCATTTTTGCTTTCTAATGACTATCACACACTTCCTCGCCCTGTGTCAGTGTGACAAATCCTTCACTGCTGTTTCCATTAATCATTCCGTTGGTTGAGTGGCTCAGCCTGTCACACAGTAGACAATTATAGGATTATTTTATGGAAAACAGACACTGAAACATGATAATGAAATTTCAATTATTTTTGCTCTCCTTGTTGAGACTTTTTTTTTTTTTCAAGATCAGACTAGTTTATTCTTCCTGGATCATTTATTTCTCAATTTAATGATTCTCTGACCACCATGAGCTCTTTAAAAGACAACCAGACAATAAATCAAGTGTTCTATTTGCCCAGTTTTCTCTTTTCTGGAGATATTTTAAATAGAATAGAAACCTCTGTTCTTGGGGGAGAACTGAGGTGTGGCTGGCTGATGGATCAGAAATGAACAATATGGCCCCTGAGGACTTACAATTGTAATCCTGTAATTTTATGAACTCTTGCTTCTTTTGTTCTGTCTATAACAACAACAAGAGTAGCAGCCACCACAACTCTCAGCCCTGTGGTCTCTCTGATCTCTCGCTGGTGCTCATCAATGTGGGCAGCAGCTGGCCAACGAAAACTCCTGAAGTCTATGAATTAGAACTAACCTTCTACCATCGGATCAGACCCTGGCCTCATAAAAGCTCAGAACAGCATCAAAGTGCTTATAAAAGGAAAGAGGAAAACTGTGGCCAGAAACGATCTGAACATGTATTATTTTAGAATTCAGCAGTGACCCTCAAATGAGGAACTCAGCCAGACAAATGTATTTATCTAACACAGTAATTCAAACTAGGTTAGCGACCAACACATCAGGATTTTCTTCTGCCCTTGTTACTTCTTTCTAGTATTTAAGGAGCTTCCAGCTGCAATTTCCAGCCCTGTTGTTGCATGGCTTATTTTCCCCATAGTGACCATATTTCGAGCTCACCTCTGACGAGAAGGCCCAGAGATATTAGGGTGTGTTTGTATATGCCTGCATTTGCTAGGGCTTACAGAAGCAATAAACCTCCATTTTTCCTCTTACATCACACGGATCTCAGAATTCAGCTCTCGGTCTTTTATTTCCCCCACAAGAGAAAAAGGTCTCCACATCACAGCTGAACAGTGGTTTCGAATCTCCGTCTGCGATCTTTCTGAGTTCTTAAATGATGTTTGGAACAGCCTAATGGAAATCACGTTAGGAGCATATTGTACTTGTAAAAATAGTCTAGAGAGAATGTAATGCTTGGTTAATTATCCAGATGTGTAAAAGCACAATGAACTTGGACTTAAAGAAACTTGTAATTGTGTATTCGGTCTGAAGCTCTCCTTTCTTACATGTTTCCGCAACATCCACAGC